ATCTCAAAAACAAATAGCAATTTATGCAATAATATTAATATAGATGCTATTAATCCCAATATTACATCTTTTGATCCAAATGTTTATACTTCGTTTACCATTGATTCATCAGATACTACTACTCAGGTTTGCGGTTTTTCTTTATTATCTTGAAGCTATAACAATGTATAATTTATATAATTATCTGTCTTTAAATAGAATGAAGGTTTTTTGAGTCTTGGGACATCTCAAAATACTTCTCCTAATGTAACAAATGTCACTGTAAATACTCGTATTGCTTCTCCCAAACAAGGAAACGCGTATTTTACTGACAGCTTTTTAGGTTCCAATTACAAATTGAGTTTTGTATGTATACTCTTTATATTTCAAACTTTAGATTTTTTTTTTTTTGTTAAATTATTTTAACTATTATTTTAATTATTTTAATTATTTAAATTAGCATCAGAAATCAACTTCTTCTAAAAATTTCTTTAATCTTTTTGGCCCTCCTGATTCTTGTTTCCGTGCACGTGTGGACCTAGTCTTGCCACAACAATCAATTTCTCCTATTGCTCTTAATGTTGATAATTTTGATGTTTATCTTGCAAATATGTCCTCTAATCAACCTATCAATGTTCATACGACTACTGGAAATATTTTTATGCGTAATTTAAATATCTCAAATGCAAATCTTTATTCTGAAAAAGCTTCTATTCATGGAAGAATTTTTCTTTCAAATACCATTATCGTTAATCAAACTTCTGATGGTGAAGTCGACTTATTTATTAATATTGTTCCGAATGCTACCAATCCTAAAATATATATAAATGCAAATAATGGTCATGTTAGATTAATTTTGGTATGTTTGTTATTTGATATATATATATATATTATTTCACAAATTAACTCATTATGATTTTTTTCATATAGAATAAAACTTTTGCTGGAACATATAATGTAATTACAAGTGGAAAGGTAATGTTTAGCGAAAGTAGAAGAAAACCTATCTCCTTACCTGCACAAGGCACATATGGTAATGGTACTGCGTTATTGGAAGTGATATCGAATTCTAACGTTAGAATTGGCTTTTAACCAAATTGACAAAAAAATTTATAAAAGGTTGAATCAATAAAATCTACGAATTTATTAATTAATGAATTGATGTAAAAAGATGTAATTTTACAGTAACTACAGTTTGTACAAAAATGACCCTTCATGTACTATTGATTATTATGTAAATTTATAATAAGGGTTTTGAATATCTTTGTTGTTATTGTTTTTTTTTTTAAACGAGGTAATATAGATTATTACAGTAATATTTATCTTATCAGAATGGTTTTAATAAAGTGAAAATATTTTATATAATTACTGTTCATATTCATTCTTTTTAAATTATTAGTTTACTTTTAGATATTTCTAATCTCACTCCATTGTGTAATTAGAAGCTTTAATTATAGTTTGGGCTATATATATACTGTATATTATTTAAATTAAAATTTGTTGATATAAATTACATGGTTCTCATTAATAATCAATGTTCGTTACTTGTTGAATTTGTTTGTCCAAGGCGTAGCGCAGGAACGATTATTTTCTGTGATTCACAGAAAACCGCATAATTTCTCTTAACGCTGCCAGCCACAGAAATCACCGCAAAATATCAGAGTTTTAAAAAAAGTAGCGCAGAATATCACAGAATTCTAAAAAGTAGCGCAAAATATCACAGCATTGACCACAAATTCAGGTCGTCCGGGAATTGTTTTGTAATAAACTTTCTATTCGGTAGATTCTTTTAGCCAAATCCGATAGTTTTGTGTGAAAATTTTTATTATAGCATAAAAGATTCTACCTCATCGGTATTATGACATTTCGGGAATTTGTTTTTCGGGATTGCATAATTAGCAGGCAGTTGCATATGATACCGCTTTATTGGTAAAATTTTGCATGATTTTTAGTTTTAGTGTTCTCATGCGTTCAATTTAATTTAGGAAAATTGATATCGTACGTATTTAAAATAAAGTTCTCTTACTTGAGAACATTTTTTCTTTATTATACAGATAATATAATATACTTATATAAGGCCAATTCTATTTTGACCCGGCCCATCATGTGACCATATACCCAAGAATTTTCAAAACTTTGAGCGAAGATATCTCGACAAACATCAAACCAAATACAATAAATCTTTTTTTATTTGAATTCTATGGATTCATAGAATTTGAATAAAAAACTTTTCACTAAATTTAGTTAGATAATTATCGAGATATCTTCGCTCAAAGTAAAGAAAAATCAAACCACCTATAAAATAGAAGTTGCACCAAATTTTTCTTTAACTTTTATCGAAGATATCTCGACAACCATCAAACCAAATTCGATAAACCTTTTTTTGTTTGAATTCTATGGATTCGTAGAATTTGAATAAAAAAAATTTCGTCGATTTAATCAGAAGCTCGCCAAGATATCTTCGCTCAAAATTAAAAAAAAAATCAAACCGCCTATCATAATAAAAGCTGTACTAAATTCATTTTAAAACTTTGATCGAAGATAACTTGACGACCATCAAACCGAAATTTGATAAAATTTTTTTTTATTTGAATTTTATGGATTTATAGAATTTGAATAAAAATTTTTCATCGAATTTAGTAGGCGGTTGTCGTGATATCTTTGCTCAAAGTTGGAAAAAAAATCAAAACGCCTATCAAAATACTAAATTACTTTAAAACTTTGAGCGAATATATTTTGTCAACCAATTCATTAAAGCTTTTGTATTTGAATCTTATGGGTACATGGAATTTTAATAAAAACGGTTTCATCAAACTTAGTCAGATATCTTCGCTCAAAGTTAGAGAAAAATCAAAACGCCTATCAAATTAGAAGTTATCGACAACCACTTGGTTAAATTAGATGAAAAATTTTTTTATTCGAATTCTATAAATCTAGAAAATTCAAATAAAAAAGGTTTTATCGAATTTGGTTTAATGAGTGTCAAGATATCTTCGTTAAAAATTAGAGAAAAAATTTGGCGCAGCTTCTAACTTGATATTAATTTAGGCGTTTTGATTTTTCTTTAACTTTGAGCGAAGAAATCTCGAATTCTATGAATAAATAGAATTTAAATAAAAAAAAGTTTTATCAAATTTGATTAGAAGGTTATCGAGATATTTTCGCTCAAAGTTTTGAAAATTCTTAGGTATATGGCATATGATGGGTCGCTTTGACACGAGTCAAAATAGAATTGGCCATAATATAATGTACATTGAAAAATTAAAAAATTTTGAGAACATTAATGATTTAAATTTTGAATTTTAAAACAGCAATAAGTAAAAATTTTATTTTATTTAATAATTATTTATATACATAAAAGTAAATTATTTATATATAATATGTATAAAAAGTAAAAGAAAAAAAATTTTATGACTTTATTCGTCATCATCAATTATGATAATATTATTGGTTTGGATCGTACCGGGGTTATATTCTAAAAAAAAAATTATATTATACAATGTTATATAAAAAAAATAAATTCTTTTAATTAATAAATATTTTTTAACACACCTTCAGTTATTTCCACTGGTTTTATTCATTCTAGCCATTTCATAAATGGAATTTTGCATTTGTTCGCGTTGTAGATCTGATTGTAGTCGGTTGATTTCATTCTGTTCACTCTGTAGATCTGATTGCAGATGGTCTATTTCATTTAAGGTTTCGATTTCTTTTTTATACTCCTCGCATTTACTATTATATTCGATACCTAAGGCATCATGCCTTTTTTGTAAATCCACAAGTTTTTCTTTATCAGACAAACCTTTGTCGAGCAGTTCATCTAGTTTTTTTAACTTTAAATCTAGGCTGTCGCCTTTTATTTTGTTTTTGGTAAAAAATTTAGTAACCCGTTTTTTCTCTTTCGAGAAATTTTACGTGTTCTTCGTAAGTTTTAATTAATTTTTGATAGGGGTCAATATTTTTCGATCTTGTTGATTTCTTTGTTCGTGTTATTGTTTTTTTGTTTTGCATTAAATAACTATTTAAATTCGGGAATAGTGCTTTTAGCTTTGGTATATAAAGGTAACTGTTTAAAATTATGAATGTGTGTATTTAATCCCATTATTTTAATATTATTTTTAAGCTTACAAGTTCTTACGACAAGGCTACGATGGTTTAAGTGTAACATGTACGGATCTACTTCTGTATCTGATTGGCCAATTACCATGTGTTTTGATGACGCAAAGTGGCCAATCTAGTTTCAAATTTGTTTCAATATGTGATTCTGTCTCTGATTGGTTTTTGTATGTGTCCATTGTTTATCATTATGCATTTTGGCAAAATAAAAAAGGTATATAAGAATCACTTTTTCATCTTTTAGCCTTTTCACATACGTTTGTTCTTCTTTTTTTCTCTTAAATACTTGATTTTCATATATTTTTTGATATCACACTAATATTCTTTATTCACCCATTATTTTAATGTTTTCCGAAACCAGAGTCTATATTTTTTTTTTATTTTTTTCTCTTCTTAATATTCATATATCTTTTGATACCACACTAATATACTTTATTTAAAGATAGTTTAACGTTCTCCAAAATCAGAGTTATTTTTTTGTTTTCTTTTAATATTCGTATATTTTTTTGATACCATACTAATGTACTTTATTTACCCCGTTGTTTTAAAGATAGTTTAACATTTTCCGAAACCCTAGAGTTTTTTATATATTTTTTTTTCTTTAATACTTTCTTTTAATATTTGTATATCTTTTAATAGTATACTAATCTACTTTATTTACCCATTGTTTTAAAGATAGTTTAACCTTCTCCGAAACCAGAGTCTTTACATTTTTTATTTTATTTTTTATTATATTTTTTAAGCCTTTGATTTTATATTCAATATTTATTTACTTTACCCCTCTTTTTTCTCGTGTTCCTTCAAGTGGGTCATGTTTTGTCAATATGGACCTTAAGGCAAAAAACTGACAAGTGGCAGGGGTTATCTAATCGGTTCTTGCTTGAGGAACTGAGGTTTGATAAAATTCCCAGCTCACTTGAGTTTTCGCGAGTCCTTTGTCAAGACATTTTTTTTTTCTTGTGTTCCTTTCGAGCAGGTCATGTACAGTGTTGGAAATTCAAAAAAAATTTAATGATTTTTGTTAACATAATTTTTTTTTTTAATGTTCACATAAAAATAAATATGTTCACAAATATAATTTATATTAATTCAAATAGTAACAATTGGAATATTCCTAATACTTAGAAAAATCATAATAATTATAATTTATAACTAATAAATATTATGTTTATTGAGTTTAT